GGATGTCATAACTTTCTTTAGTTTATTTGATCGAGCCTCACCCTCAATTCTTGTGTTCATCCTTCGGGATAGATACAGGATTTGAGGTAAAACGCTCTTTCATCTAAACTATGAAACTTATGGGGTCAGTTTGACTTCATCTTTTTCAAAATTAAAATTTTTAAAATGTCCTTCCGAAGCGGGCAACGGGATTTCAATTTCGATGACCGACAGCTTCTTACGGGCAAACCACACACCAAAAATAGTGCCGACAGTATATATATATATATATAGCGCTTATGGTTCCCTTTAGGCATTTTGAATGGAACGTAATGCCCTTCGAGCTGAAAAATGCTTATCTAAATTTCAACATACTATGAATGACATATTTAAATATCACTTTGAATACATCATTGTTTAAATGGATGATGTTCTGGTGTTTTCCAAAACTATTGAAAAACCCTTTTTGAATTTAAAAATAATTAAATGGATAATTCAATGAGCTAGATTAGTCATTTCAGTCCCAACAAATTAAATTGTTTCATACTGAAATGAGATTTTTGGGACAACATATCCAATGCATTTATTTTTTCCCATTAATAGAAGTATTGAATTTCCTGAAAAATTTTCAGATCAAATCTTTGGTAAAACCCAGGTATAAAGATTCTTTGGAGCCCTAAACTATGTAGGACATTTCTCTCAATTTAACAATTGATGCTGCTCCATTATTTGAAAATTTAGAGGAAAATTCACCTCCATTGATGGATATCCATACCATGGCATTACAAAAAAATTAAGCAAAGTGTTAAAAGGATTTCCTAGTTAACTCTCGCTAATTAAGATTTCTTCAAAATCGTTGAAACCAATGCCTCTAATTTAAGGTTATGGTGGCATCTTAACACAATTTAATTCCTTAATTAAGGAAGAATTAATTTGTTTTACCTCTGAAAAGTGGAATCATATGAAAGAAAATTATTCCATTATTAAAAAAGTAATGTTATATGTTGTCAAATATATTTCGAAAATTTAAGATGATTTTTTGAAAAAATAAATTATTTTGTTTAGATTGCTCTTCTGTTAAATTTATTTAGAAAAAGATGTACAAAATTCTGCTTCAAAGTAGATTTTTGCTATTTAGCTCAAGTTAATATAGTTTTCGCTCGATTATAGGTCGATAAGCTCAATTCATGAGCTCATTAAAGAGCAAAATTAGAGACCGCTCGCAAGCAGTATCTGCTCATTTACACCCTAGTATGTTGTATGCATTCGTGATAGTATATTTACAGTTTGTGATTGCGGTGCTAGTGCTCTTTCTGCTTGTGTCAGTGTTCTTTTTACTACCATTTGTTTGTATGACTACATTTATGATTTTTGTTGATCTTTCTCTTCTATAATCAATGAAATAATGGGGGTGGTCGGAAACTTCAAAAACAAATTAATTAATTAACTAATTAAATGAAATAAATAAATAAATAGCTCTAACTGAACATTATTTCGTAAGAAAATATAGCATCATTATGATGTCAAAATAAACTTTCGGATACAGTTTAGCCAGGCAATACTGGCAAATACAGGAACAATGCAGAACAAATTACTAGAACAATGCAGACCAAATTACCATAATGCTATTCCACACAATATTTAAAACCAATGAGGCGCTCCATCAATTAAATAAAATTCGGATTACAAATCCATCCACTCCTAAACATCGAATCCACACCCATTCTTTCTTCAGATCCTAGAATTGGCAACAACTGTAATCCCACCGTCGTTCAGTCCCCTCGTCCCGGACCTGATTTGCTCCTTGAATTGCTCCTCCGTCACCCCTGCATAAAATTAATTTGTTAAGCAAAAATACCTTCTTGCCAAATTAAAAGCAACAATATTTCAGCGTTAAAGGTCTTGCCTTTGCCCATTGCGGCGGTGGAAGAGATTCCGCCTTGCACAGTCTTGAGGTAACGATCATAGTAATTTGCCCCTGACCACTTCTGATGCTCCAGCGTATCCACGCCATTGTTCCTCTCCTCCCTCTGTATCCTCTCCACATAAGCCAGCATCCCCTGCCGCGCAAACTCTCTCGCAAACGTATCCGTCACCAACGCGTCGGCATGAAATCCGGCAAGCGTAATGAACTGCCAGCAGAATCCCATTCTCGCAATCCTCGGTATAAATTCCCTCATCTCCTCATCCGTCATCCCCGCAGCATCCCAATTGAACGACGGGGACAAGTTGTAAGCCATCATTATCTCCGGGTGCTCCGCTTTCAGCCCCTGCGCAAACTTGCTGCACTCCACAAGGTCAGGACTCGACGTCTCCATCCATATCAGGTCAGCGTGCGGCGCAAACGCCCGGCCTCGCACCACAGCTGCCTCCACCGATCCACGGAAGCGGTAGAACCCTTCTCGAGTCCTAGGAATGTCCCAGTCCCAAAAAATCTCCCCTGCACCCAACCGCTCCGCGATTTCACGTCCCTCATCGTTGGAAATACAGTTCCCGTATTCACTTGCGCCGGCCCATTCGTTGATCCGTCGTCGCTTTTCGTAGTCCGGAAGGTTTTGGCGGTTAATGGCGTCTACAACGGCTTCTGAAAAAGTCATGAGTCTGGCGCGGGAGAGCCAGTCATCTTCGATGGCCTGCAATTCTGCCCCCGTTTTAACCGCCGTCACCCCGCCGTCATGGCAGCGGACAGCACGGCGGCTAAATTTCGGCGTTTAAGATCAGGATTTGTCGCCCCGAGAATGAACTGGTGGTCACGCACGTCGACGTTGGACTGAATGAGCGTGGCAGCAACGGCATCGGTGCGGGCTACCAGAACGGTTTCGACCCCCATTACGTCGAACTGGAGCCTTGCCGCAACAAGCCGGTTAATGTGCTCGGACACAGCAACCAGTACTTTCCCCGCCATATGCCCGCACTTCTTCGTAACCGAAGACTGGTCTTCGATGTGCACCCCGGCGGCGCCGCGCTCGACGAAAAGCTTACATAGCTTAACCGTAGCCGTGGCCCCACCAAAACCAGTATCGCCATCGGCGATGATGGGGCGCAAGTAATCCACAAAAGGGATCTTGGCCCGCTGGTCACGAGTCATGGTCATGCGAGCCTCTTGCTGCTTGCGGTCGTGGTAGAGCTGGGCGAAAAACAGGTGTTCTACTTTGTTTGGGACGGTGTCGTAGGGGTAGTCGGCGAGGTCGGGGCCGGGTTCGTTGGTGGTGGTGTGGGTGGAGGAGCATTGCCAGCCAGAGACATAAATGGTGTCCAGGTGTTTGGCCATCATGGCGACTTGGACGGGGTCCAAGGCGCCGAAGGTGCGGGGGCGCCGAAGGTGCGGGAGGCGGTGCCGGCGGCGTGGTGGGATTTGAGGGTGCGCCAAAGCTTTTTGGCCATTTCGTTTGAGGCGTATGAATGATGGAGGGTTCCGCGGAGGGAGACGACGTCGCGAGCGGAGTATGGGCGGCGGGTTAAGCGAAAACGGTCGGTGCGCCACCATTTCTCCACCGCGGACACCTCCGCCTCGGAACGGGCCTCCTCTTCAGTAATCTACGAGGCAGCATATAAGGATTATTATTTTCTTAGAATATAAGAATATTTTATAAAGTTTTAAGATGACTAATATTTTTTAGGCTATTTCTTTATTAAAAAATATTCTTCTTTTAAAAAAATGCCTTATAATAATTTTGGGAGTGATTTCATTTATACATATGAGATTGAATCTATTAATCATCACCTTAGAAATATAATATTAATTAAAAAGATTTATTTAGTTTTAATAGTACTTATATTATTATGCTGTTTAATATTTTCTTAATCTTCCTGTTTAAAGAAACAGGTAATTATATTATTTGGATTCAGATTAGATACGGATTGAACCTTTGAATTTTGGAAGCGATTATTCAATGCGGAATCCGCACCTACGCCCCCGTCATTTCACATAAACATCATTTTTAAAAATTTTTAAATTTTTAAGTTGAGACCCACTTTCAGACAGCTTTTAAGGAGGGGTTTGTTTTTATTGGGTGCGTGTAGTCACTGTATGGTCTCAAAAGCTTGCCCAAAAAAGTTAGAAGAAAAAAAAAATCAGAACTCATATGAAGTTATAGACTATATAAAGCATCTCTCTAAAACAATAACATAAATATATATTAATCACAAAATAAATTTTTAGATGTGGTTCATATAGAACCAAAACATAGTAACTTGTAGTTTATACAGAATTATAATTAAAAGATAACACAAATCTTGATATAAACCTTTCCTTTATGCAATTTACATACAATTTTATAAAAATAACTTGCAATTTATACAGAATTATTAACGCATCACATATTACATCAGTATACATATAATTTGTTCTATTATAAGAGGATCATTCCTCCATATATAAGACCACACCCCAAGAAAATCATAACAAAGAGAAGGGAGAGGGAGGGTGCAGGGGGCTACTAACCATTTGAGACACTGAGAAAGAAGGCATGATGGAGATCTGAGACGGAGGATTTTTGCTTGAGTTAATAGCACAAGTGATAATGCATGCAACACCCAACCGCAGCTCCGTCTAATATAGGGAAATGGGAACCCTATCCTTTCAAAAAAATACAAATAGCCAGCAGCTTTTCACTCCTTTTAAAAGACAAGTTCTATAAAATAGTAAAATCCTCTCAAACTTCTTATGCTATGGTCCAACTATATTTCATCACTCTATAATTTGTCTTTTTTATATTCACTCTCAGAATATAAAAGAAAAACTCTAATAAACTTTTGCTGATTGAGTAATTTAATGTATTACTTCAATATTTACGTTAAAAGTGATATAAATCAAGATTAATTAATCAAAATCATATAGAGTGATATATTATATGTTAATTTATAGATATAAAAGGATCACATCTAAATGTACTAATTTTGCCTTGACATAAATTAGAATTGGTTGAGTAATCATTTTGATTATTTTCGCAAGAGGAAACGAAGTGAAAAAGATATGTAATGTTCATGGGCGAGCAACACTCAGACCGGCTCTAATTAGCTCAGTAAAAATAATTTAAATTGATGTATACAACTGCAACAATTCATATCAAGCTTTCAGGCCCATGAAGTTAATTTGATATTATTACCAATTGTCAATGTTTTTATTAAATTCAATTGTTGGACTCAAATTACTATGTGGTCAGGAAATCTCCTTGTTTTTTTACCGGAGAGCAAGCAACGAGATTGATGCATGCTAGAAAATTCTCGGTGGTAGAGTAAAGGATTATCGTCTTAGCGTTGCACGAGAATTCAACACACACTAAAAGAAAAGAAAATAACCAGTTGTGACACCAGAAGTTCTTACATAAAAAACTCGTAAGAAGAAAAACTAAGGGGCTTGACTCAGTTGTAAAAATTCACTATAAGTTGAGAATTACATGTACACTCCCTCGCCCCACAAGCCGGAAAGTGTTGAAAACTCTTTGGAATTACAACATAGGTGCACAAATGAACTTGTTTTAACAAGTGGGTGGCAGTCGATGACGATCGGTGCAGGCCGAAAGGTTGTGGTGAACGGCGGTCGACAGTGATCGACCGCTATCAGCGGCGGTCAGCATCGGTCGATAGTGGTCAATGGCCGTCAGAGGCGGTCAGCGACGGTCGGTGATGACAGTAGTTGTGTTGGACTACAGCTCCTTCTCAAACCTTCAAGTTCTTTCTCAAGTCTCAAGCTCTCCTCCACCTTATGAGAGGGGTGGGGCTCTATTTATAGAGTTCTGAGTGCAATTAATGCAGGAATATAAATCACTTTGATAAGATGACTAAAAGGACTTCCCTCAATCGGATGACATTTAATGAACATTTGAGTGTCTTAATGATGTCAAAATTGAGTGATCATGGGCTCGTTGGATTCGTCTTGCCAAGACGGTCAATTCGACTATAGTCTCTCCATAGCATGTAGTCATTTAACCTTCCAAATGTGTCTAAAAACTTCTGAAAGCAGCTTAATAGCTTCATATGGGCTTGATTTGATTCTGATTGAACCAATTTTGGTAACATTAGGTTTTCTTATCAAACTGCTCAGTTTTACTGTACGTTTATTGAAATTAGAGTTCTGGATCACATTTTATCAAGATTTAAACATTTCTTACTCAAAAGATTGTCTTGAGATCTATGTCATATCTCGAGATTTGTGTTAGATTATGAGAAAGTGAGCGAGCTACAAAGCTTTTCTCACTTAGCAAAATACATGAGAGGGGCCTCAAGCTCTCCTCCACCTCATGAGAGGGACGGGGCTCTATTTATAGAGTTCTAGGTGCAATTAATGTAGGAATATGAATCACTTTGATCAGATGACTCAAAGGACTTCCCTCAATCAGATGACATTTAATGAACATTTGAGTGCCTTAATGATGTCAAAATTGAGTGATCATGGGCTCGTTGGATTCGTCTTGCCAAGACAGTCAATTCGACTATAGTCTCTCCATAGCATGTAGTCATTTAACCTTTCAAATGTGTCTAAAAACTTCTAAAAGCAGCTTAATAGCTTCATTTGGGCTTGATTTGGTTCGGATTAAACCAATTTTGGTAACATTAGGTTTTCTTATCAAACTGCTCAATTTTATTGTACGTTTATTAAAATTAGAGTTCTGGATCACATTTTATCAAGATTTAAATATTTCTTACTTAAAAGATTGTCTTGAGATCTATGTCATGCCCTGAGATTTGTGCTAGATTATGATAAAGTGAGCGAGCTACAAAGCTTTTCTCACTTAGCAAAATACAACCATCTCAACCCCTCTAAGGAAGGTTGGAAATGCCAAAGAAAAAGGAAATTGGGATTCTAACTAGTTAGGATTTTGGTCTAGGATTCACAACAAGAAATCACTCGACTCCACAAAGGATTTGGCCACACTTGATTTCTAATCTAAGGCTTCCTCTAGGAAATCATTAGTAAATCCAAGGACGTGTAGCAGTGCCAACTAGTGTCGGTCAGCCCACTCGCACCATGTGAGTGACTGAAACCAGAACCTCTAGCAAAAATCCAACCCTAGGACTAGCTAAGAAAGAAAATTTGAAGGATTTAAGGAGTTTTTCCTACACGATGGTTGGGGGATGCGTTTCTTCAAGTAGGATGAAGCTCTAATATCGGTAGGAGAGAAACCCACATTCCAGCAAAGCACCGACGAGATCCAATCTACTCCCTCTCCAAAGGACAAAGTAGATTTCCTCAAGAAAGAGAGTCTATTGAGACTCCGAAAAAAGTTTCGAGCTCCGACAAAGTTCCAACAGTGCTCTGGTGATCCTTTCCTCAAGCTAGGGTGAAGCTCTCCTTTAGTTTAGGAGAGAGGAAACCTTTCTCCCTTGGTGACCTCCTTCTCCTCAAGGAAATCTCTTCACACACTCAAGGTAAGTGGTGAAGCAAAATGAAGAAGGGGAGGAAGAAATAAGGAGGAAGAGTTTCTTGTGGAAGAAGAAGAAAGGGAAGAAAAATTAGAAGCTCTCCCTCTAACCTTTCTCCGAGCTCTCCACCTCAAGGCCTTCAAGAAGAAACCCTAGCTCCAAGGAAGAAAAATCTCTCCATTGCCCTCTCAAGCACTCCAAACTTCATCTCTCCAAAAACTGAAAAGGAGAGGAGATCTTAGGAAGAAGTGAGGCTCCCTTAGGTTAAAATTAGCTCACCCAAGGAAATCTTCAGCTTGCTCCTTGATTAATTCAAAAATGGCTAATGAGGTGTACTTAGGGCATGTCAATTGAGGCTAAATCCATGGTTTTAACACCCTTCCTGCAAATCTCCTAATAGAAATCTCCTCACACACCCAATGCAAGTGGTGGAGGAAGATGAAGGAGAGGAAGAAGAAGTTGAAGAAGATGGAGTTTGAAAGGAGAAGAAGTTTTCCCTTCTTTTCTTGAGCTCCTATCCAGATTTTTCCTTCACCAAACCTTCTCTCTAGCTCTCCACCACCAAGAGGAAGAAGAAACACTCTCCTCTCCTCTTCCTAGCTCTTCGCACCAGCCCAATGCTGAAAATGAGAGGGTCTCGTATCAAATGAAGAGAGGGGGAAGCTTAAAATCAGCTGACCCTAGGAAAGCCCTAAATTTTTCTTTGATTAAGACAAAAATGGCTAATAAGGGGTACTTATGGCATGTCAAGTGAGGCTAATCCCATGGATTTAACCAACCCCCATGGATATCTCCTCAAGCACAATAAGATCTCGGTCAATCAGGATTGTTAGGTGGTGAACTGAGGTTAAATTAGTGCAAAATAGGGTTTTTTTCTATCTATAAATAGACTAGCACCTAGGCACCATGACTAAGGTGCCTAGGCACCCAGTCTATCACCAGGCCTTTAGCGACTAGGTGTCACTCATGTGGCGTCTACTGATACGCCTAAAAATGTACTATTTTTTATGCTTCATTTTATAATGATATTGCACTTTAAAGGTATGTTTTCTTGTGTTTTTGGTTGTATGTACATCAAATTGAAGAATTTGGAGTCAAATTGTATGTACATCAAATTGAAGAATTTGGAGTGATTGGAGCAAAAGGAACAAAAATGGACCAAAATGGAGCAAATTGGAGCAAATTGGGTCAAACCGGGGCACACTGGAGCCAAGAGAGCCTAAACTGGACACTTAAGTGCCTGTGCCCAGCGCTTCAGCACCCAAAATGGTGCTTAGGTGCCACCAGACAGAGAGGGTGCCGCTTAAGTGCCAAAAAATGACGCTTAGGCACCGGTGACAGTTTTCAACATATCTTCTAGAATATACGTTCGATTTGGACTATTTTTGAAGCGGTGCTTCATGCATCTCTTGGGGAATTCATTGAAATTGATAAATGAAATGAGAAAAGGGACTTTCTAGAAGAATTTGGACTGTTATATGGAGTTTTTAAGAGACACTTCAGGCACCATTTGAAAGATTCATTGAATCTGGACAGTTTTGAAGAGACACTTAAGCATCTCTTAGGAAATTATAAAAAAATGCTTGAAAATGTTTTTAAAACAACTCTTAGACTCTTGAATTAATTGAAAGAGGAGAAGAAGACTTGTATAAGAAGATAAGAAGGCTTGCGCGTGAGCTCCAAGTGAGGCGGCAAGGTGAGAGAGAAAGAGAGAGAGTGAGAGATTTCTTCTTTTCTTTTCACTTTATTTTTGGAGAGGATTATAAGAAGATTGCTTTTGTTATACAAGGAGTGTTTGATTTCTATTAGAAATAAGTATTTTCATTGTATTTTGATTTGAATTTAGTACTTTGTTTGTATGTTTTCAAAGTTTTATTCATGAAAAGTTCTTGTTGTTTCTCCATGTGTAGTGAGTAGTTTTCTTTACTCTTCCCTCTTGTAATGAATTAATATGCATGTGTAGGATATAGAATCAAGTAGAGTGAGAATATATTGTGATGATTTTACTTTTTTCTTCATTTACTATTGTCTCAATCAACTGTGGTAGAATCACATGAGATTGTATGGATGAGAATGTAATCCATATAGTTAAGTGAAAATAAATAGGGAAATAATCTTTAAAGGGTATAGAGTTAGAGGACTTTAGAGTGACAGACTAAAGCCCCTAATTTGGTCTATTATTTTAGGTTTTGATGCGAGATG